CTCGGCCTTCGGGCGTAAATGATTGGTCTAACTTCTGTCTGCCCTTCTCTATCTCTCTACTCTCATGGATGCCCTCCTCACTCGGAATTTACCATCTTTGTTCATCATTGGTAGTGTGCTTTCACTTTTGGTTAATGTCGGGTATAGATATTGGAAAGTATTGAAATCCGTCAGGTGTGCTTGTTCCTTATTGAACCCCTTTTTTACTGGAATTCTTATACGCAGCCCAGATATCATCCAGGTCGTCGTGAAATCATCGGTGTTTCTTTACTACGCCAGGCATGACCATTATTTTTCCCCACTACAATCTCCATATAACAATCGTCTTTCATCTCTTGGAGAACAGTTACTTCCAAGTATACCATATATCAATGCTGCCCGAAATGACGCTATCAAAAACGGTCATTCAGGTGATTTATAATAAATGTATACCTTTCTTTTTTGTAACCAACCACCCTGTCCATCATAGCTTTTGCTTATTATGGATACGACGTGATTAGCTGGGTTCGTTAAATACGTTTAATCACATCCATAATGTAGACAAGTTGTTAGTGTAGGTTTCACCACTCCCTGCTGTAGAAGCGAGGTTCCTTGTCGCCGATCCTTTAGCCATCAAAGTCAGTTTTCATTCATTCACTGTTATATGTACATACATTCTCACTCACTCAGACTCTTGCCTCGAGCCGCTCGCGTTTTCCTAAAAACACTATTGAATATGATTCTATGCGGCGTTTTGGATCAAATATCCTTGTTATCGAAGGTGATGCATGGAAAAGACAACGGAAAGTTGTTGCTCCGTCATTCTCAGAAGTAGGTTTTGATTATCTGTAATCTCTTCAAACTAAGCTTTCTTGTTCATGTTTTCCCTTTCATGTAGAAAAATAACAGGCTTGTTTGGGATGAAACTATACGGCTTACCTTGGAAGTTGTTGAAAGATGGGGATCGACCAACTCAACGGTTCATATCAACGATTGCCTCGCGGATTTGACTTTACCTGTTAGTGATTCTTTTCCGTGCTTGTAATTGATCATAAATTAACTATAAATGTCAGCTTGCTCTTTTTGTCATTGGAAGTGCCGGTAACATGTTTCATCTTTCTAGCTCGTTTCATTTATATCTGACATACACGTGAACATACAGGATTTGGACGACGTATGACTTGGTCTGACGAAACAGGCAATGTACCCCGAGGGCATACCATAACTTTCACAGAGGCGCTTCATATTACATCTTTGAACATGATTGCTTTGTGTGCTTTTCCCAAGTGGGTGATTAACATGTCAAAATCTTTACGGGAAGCGGAAAAGGCTTCTGAAGAGCTTGGGGTAAGTTGGGTCAACAAATAAAACGCATGTAGCAGCTGATGGTATCCCTCTCTATCTAAAAACCATAAGGCTTATTTCAGAGAAATGATTGAGGAGAGGAAGAGTGTCTATGATATTCAGGAGCAAGAACATCATGACCTTTTCAGTGCACTGATAGCTATGAACATGGGTACCTCAAAAGATGGTTTGGATTCACAATTGACAGATGAGGAAGTGATGGGTAAGTGATTTTCGGTACTTTCTCGTTTTTTAATTGAATTTTTCTTTTGTTTAATTTCCTATAGGGAATATATTCATCTTTATTTTAGCTGGTCATGAAGTAAGCACAGCTTTTGGTGGATCATCGACAGAACCTACTCTTATATACGAGATTCCCTGATAGACCAGTGCACATACGTTATGTTTTGTCCTCGGTTTGTTAGCGATTGAACAGGAGGAACAAGAGAAAATGCACCAACATATTATATCTATAATACCTGATCAGAAACTTCCCGTAAGTCGCATATATAATCCTACATGTGGTTGCTTTATTGGTTTTTTCTCTCTACAAAACTATAGTCTTATGAATATTTTAATCGATTACCTTACGTCCTAGCGGTTATCAATGAAACTCTTAGGTTGTATCCTCCAGTTTAGTGTTCTCCTTTTTTCAGTGTGATTATGATTTTGAGATATTCCTCCAAGGTCATAGAGCTTGCTAAGATTACAGTTGAAGATTCAATGTTACCAACTCTCAGACCTAACGGTTCAATTGAGCAAGTTTTCGTACCTGCCAATACTGAAATTCGACTTGATACAGTTGGAACACATTACAATCGTCAGTTTGATTCCTTATTGTGATATTGACGTTTACTTAGACTTCGTGGGGGTAGCTCGGTATTGGCCCGATCCAATGGCTTTTAAACCTTCCCGGTTTATGGAAGATTATAATCGTGATGCATTTGTTCCCTTTTCTGTTGGTAAGGTTGATTCTAGAAGTAAATTTTTTTGTTGGTGGCTGATATTGTTATCAAGGTTCTCGAGCTTGTATCGGAAGAGGGTAAGTAAATAAAAAGGTTTTTCTGACAAACCATAGTAATTACCAAATGTTAGGTTTTCGGAAACTGAGGTAAGATAATAAAACGACATGGAAGAATAGCTGAACTCGTCTCGACTCTGCAGATGGTTGCCGTGTTAACCTTACTGATAAAACTCTATCGGGTGGAATTGAAAGATGAAAAGAAGTATCAAGGATTAACCAAGTTGGAACAACGTGAACTGTTGTTACCGACTTTGCAGAAAGTTACTACGACGTGAGTGTTCTTAAAAAAACGGAAAGGTTTCTTGTTTTACTTATTTTGGATACCTAGTCCTAGCGCGCGCGTACCGCTAGTTTTTAGGAAGAGATCGACGATAGCATAATGAACTGAATATCTTCAGATTATATAGGGTAATTTATAAATACTTGTGATTAGCAATTTCCTTCTTTTGTTCTGCGACTACGTCATATACACATGGATAGTTTACTTAGTCCCGGGACCTCTGATTACATACTGGATCTCATGAGCTCCTTCGAAAGCTGTTCGTATCTGTATGATTGACTCAGAAATTTGAAAGATCTTTTGGTTCGTCATCGGAAGTCATTTCGGAGATACCTCCTGATGCTCCTTCGGGCATAGTTAGAAAATGTTTTGCTGGCACCGGTACAAGCTATGGGTGTCGCCCGAAAGGAAAAAAAGGAATAGTTTTCAAATGAAAAACGGACAACGAGAACTTGCCGAAAATCCCTCAGTGACCCACTGACGAGACGATATGCACGTTTGCTCTCGGGTAAAACCGGTTTTGCGATCCGTCGGTTCAGCTGTGTTTCGGGCGTCAAATTCTTCCTCTCATTTTTTCTCCCTATTTCACCTCTCCTCGCCGCTGGTCGCCCCCCTCATACTTTTACTGAGGGATACACCACTACACTACTATAATCATGTCTGTTACACTTCCGACAGGAAAATGGGACTCTCGGTAAGTGTTTTTTTTTTTTTAAAAAAAAAAAGATCAGAAATTTCTTATCATGATACACATTGACATTGTTTCCTCTTTTTTTTCAAGCTTTGCCGGCCCCGTCCCACACGATATGTCATATTACGCTAAATGTATGTTGGGTGGTATCCTTGCATGTGGTATTACACACGCAGGTATTACCCCGCTCGATGTTACAAAATGTAATATGCAGGTACGGTACATCGTCATCACTTTTTCCTCTCAATGCGCGGTCTTTGTTTTAACACGTTCTTTAACCTTCAGGTTGACCCAATAAAATACAAGGCTCTTGGTTCTGGTCTCCGTACTTTGATCACTGAAGAAGGTGCTACTGGTATCTGGAAAGGATTTGGCCCTACTTTCGTCGGATACTCTCTGCAAGGAATGTTCAAATACGGTCTATATGAGTATTTCAAGGACAGTTACTCCAATCTTGCTGGCGAAGAAGTTTCACAAAAGTTCAAACCCTTTATCTGGATCACTGCTTCCGCTTCTGCTGAGGTCTTCGCCGACATTGCCTTATGCCCGTTAGAAATGACAAAAGTCCGTATTCAAACTAGCAAAGTCGGAACTTTCCCAACTGGTTTCGGTCCCGCTTTGGCCGCTATGCAAGCTAACAAAGTTGAATTCCGTTATCCGTTCGGTTCTTTAGTTCCTCTCTGGTCACGTCAAGTCAGTAATACCCTTGCCTGCTAATTCGAACCAAAGAGTTAACCCATTGTTTTTTTTATCTTGTTTAGATCCCATACACCATGGCCAAGTTCTGCTTCTATGAGAAGATCGTGGAATTGTTCTATACTCACGTCTTCACTGCCCCCAAAGAGTCTTACAATAAGTCCACTCAACTCGGTGTTACCTTCGCGTCCGGTTATCTCGCTGGTATCATCTGTGCTGTCGTCTCTCATCCTGCCGATACCGTTGTCAGTCTTATGGGTAAAGTTGAGAATAAGGGCAAATCTATTGGTACCATTGTCAGTGAAACTGGTTTAGTAACATTGGCCACCAAGGGTCTTGGAACTAGGGTTCTTATGATTGGTAAGTCACTGTTCCTAGCTTTGTATACCATCCATACTGACCGATCTCCAATAATAGGTACATTGACTGGTACGTAGAATGTCTTTTCAGATCCTGTTGCACTTTTAAACTCACAACACTTAAGGATTCCAATGGTGGATCTACGATTCGTTCAAGACCGCTATGGGTCTGGGTACTACTGGTGGAAAGTAAAAACATCTCATACACAAGAAAGCGGGTTTACAGTAGTAAGTTTCCTCTCACACACGATACACAAACCCCTTTTCTTACTAAACGCAACCTCATTCAGTTAATATTAATATCGTCAATCTCCTTCCTTGCCAACTTCCTTTTCTCTCTCTCTCATATATTCTTGTTTGATACCGTGATGTTATTTAATGCTCTCTCTACAGTACTAGAATATTAGCTCATAGAACGTCCTTTTTCAAACCTCATTGTCATTCTTGATCACCTCTCCGAGAGACGTTTGCACATAACCCCAACTCTTGAAAATGCTTCTCAGATAATTAGCTTATTTGTTTCTTTCAAGTAGCCCTATGTTTCTGTTACCAAGATTCCACGTCAGACACATCGTCGCTGTTGGGAGAAACGCTTATGGGGCATAGGGGTAATAGAGCATTGTGATGGGCGGCCTGGCGTAATGGCAACGCGTCTGACTTCGATCGTCAGTAATCAGAAGATTGCAGGTTCGAGTCCTGCGGTCGTCAGTTTTTGTTTTGTGTCACTTCACTGTTGGCTCGATCCCTGTAGTCAAACAACGCTTTTTATGCATTTGTTATACCCAAAAACCAAGAAAAAACACTTTTAATCTTTATTTCACTACTTGTACAACTGACACCAACTCTGAGCGTCTGTCCATTTCCTTAATTCTTCCTTTCCAATCCCTCTCCGAACCCTTTCTCTTTCTCAGACTAAATTAGAAGGGTAAGAGAAATCTTCCAAATTAACAAAATTCTCTTTAATAGATCGTGCAGATACGAATCTATAAAAGATACTTATACTTCCAGCTTTATCATTCGTCCCACTAGCACGAGCTCCACCAAACGGTTGTTGACCAACGACTGCACCCGTACATTTTTCGTTATAATACACGTTTCCAGCAGCGTTACGAAGTCGATTGGTAGCTTGTACTAAAGCTGCGCGGTCGTTTGCGAAGCTTTAATGTGAAATATTAATCAAGATTGGGAGTCATGGGCGAAGGAAGACGAAGTACGTACATGGCTCCTGTGAGACCGTAGATGGAAGTTGTATCGATCAAAGTTAATGTTTCATCCCATTTTTTATCGTCGTAAACGTATACCTAGACATTATTAGCTTCAGCATTCAACGGAAAGAGAAAGAGTCCTTCATACACTTAAGACGGGTCCAAAGATCTCCTCTTGGAACGTGATTGATTGCGGGTCGCCAGATAACAAGATAGTCGGTTGAATGAAGTAACCTTTCGAATCATCCCCTTTTTTTTAAGAAAAAATGATGAGAAAAAAAAACTCTTTAGGAAATGATAACTTTCAAAACTCACAAGTTCCGCCAGTTAGAACCTCCGCACCAGCTTTCTTTGCTTTCTCGATGTATCCGACGATCTTATCAAATGCGGGTCGACCGCTATATGACATTTTACATTCATAAGTAATATATACGGTTGACCGTTGCAGAAACTCTTACATGACTGGTCCATTGAAGTGGAGGAATTCTATCGGATCTCCTACTTTAATCTTCTTTGTCTCGCTGATCAGCAGTTCTTTGAATCCATTGTTCCATACAGACGATGAAACATATAACCGAGATAAAGCTGAACACTTTTGACCTTTTAAAACGAAAAGGGTTATTAGACTAGGTGGGACGACACGATTGACCCGTGGTACTTCACCTTGGTATTCAAAAGCACCACGAATAGATTGGTTGACGGCATTCGGAATAGATGCAGATGAATGAACCAGATGGAAGTTCTTCCCACCTATAAAAAATGAATCAAGAACATAGCAGAACCCCACGTAGAAAAAACGTACCGGTTTCTCCTACAATCCTAGGGTATCCTTTATATTTATCTAAATTAGCTGCAATATCCTTCCAAAGCTGTTTAAACACGTGTGTGCTACCGGTGAAATGCAGAGCGGCGAAAGATGGATGACTGATAGCTTGTTTAACGATCTGAGGTGGTGGTCCTGGAACGAATTGGATAACACCTGGAGGTACACCAGCTTCGGTTAGGATTTGGTATACGAGATAGTTGGAGTATGTTGCTGCGGGTGATGGCTTCCATACTACTACGTTGCCGAGTAGAGCAGGTACTATATTTGTAAAGAATCAGTTTTTGTTTTTGGCATATGAAAAGGAAGCATACCTCCTGGAAGATTCCCTCCAATAGCTGTAAAGTTGAATGGCGATACTGCGAGAACGAAACCTTCCAAAGGACGATATTCGACACGACTACATAGCGAGAAAGCACGCAATATTAGCCAAGAATGGTGATTGGTATCCCAGGTGTTTCTTACTTCCATGAACCAGATGTATTTTGATCAGGTTGTTGTGAATATAATTGCTCAACAAATTTAACACCAAAGCGGAAGAAATCCGCCAACTAAAAAACCCCAAAAATAAAAGCCAGTCAATTGGTAAGGAAGAACAAGCTCCGCAAAAATCACAAGACATTACCTCCGCTGCAGCATCGATCTCAGCTTGCCAAACATTCTTTCCTTGACCTAACATTGTTGCAGCAAGTAACTTGTACCGATACTTCCCGCTAACAAGATCTGCAGCTTTCAAGAAGATCGCGGCACGATCATTCCACGGTAACGTTTCCCAAGTTGTCTTGGCTGCCAGAGCACCATCGATGGCAGCATTGACTAGAGAATCGTCCGCTTCGTGATATACAGCGAGTACGCGAGCATGATCCGATGGTATAATTTGTTTTCCAAGTTTTCCGGTTTTGACCTGGTCCACGGGTGGGTTGTTATTCATCAGTATACAGTTCAGGGTTTACACGCACAGGCTTTCCATTGATGATAATTGGGACTTCAAATGGTAAAGATTGTTTCATCTCATTTAATGCACTTTCGATAGCTGTTCGTTCAGGCGAACCAGGCGCATAATGTTTCTAGAAAAAGGACATGGGTTTAGATGAGAAACGTGAAAACAACCTAGTGATAGATAACAACATACAAACGGTTCATTCTTAATTTCAGGAACCTTAAAAGAAGCTAACTGAGCATTCGACATGGTAGCGGGCGGAAGAAAAAGAGATTGGATTGGAATGACGGACACTCATTTCTGCAAGGGTGACTATTCTTACATCACCGTCACGTGATTGAGGCAACGTCGGATCTTGGGATTCTTAATCCTGATTTTATCAAAGCTTTTATTATCTATCGATGTTTGTTAAATCGTTGGAAACCGTCCCATATGTTGGTTGATAAAAGTAGTTTATGATTTAAAAAAGCGGAAGCATGTATGATACGTCAATAATGATTCCCAATAACGCCAACTGCCAGTGAGCAGGCCATAAGAAAAACCCTCCTTTACCCTGACCAGACAGATCCTCCAGGGGCGGTATCTAAAAATGTATGAGGTATTTCCCAAATATTCAAAGGCATTGGACACATACAGCTCTGTAAGTTGTTGTAACTGGCAAAGAAAACAACAAAATCAGTATCATGTACGTCAAATAATTATCAATTCTACATACATGTTAATAGTAATTCCGGGATCGCTGTAAGGATCAAAGGTAAGTATGAGGATGCAACGATAGTATATGAAGCGTACGTTGGCTTATATGCTCCTGGGAGGGCAATGGTCGGTGGGTTGGCAGACCCACCACCAGCGACGGTGACCTGGAGACAGCCTGAAAAGAACAAGATTTCAATCTGTGAAAAGGGAATAATTTTTATTACTGAATAACCTATGTAGAACTGTGCTCCTGGATAAGTCGACGCTACATGGAGAGCGATAATTTCACCACCTAAACCATCAGAGTCAAGAACGTCGTATTGAAAAAAATAAAATAAAAACCCACGAATCAAATAATTTCCTGACGGGATAGACTTAGGAATGACAAAAGAATGTTTTCCGTTATTCGCATTAACGACATCCGTAGCCCAAGTTGTAGAATTGATAAGACCTTGAGAATAAACTTTTGTCCAAACAGTACCCGAACCGTCGAAAGCTGAAGCAGTGGTGGGGGCTTTCGCCATATAGACTTGCACCGGGCCTAGATAAAGGTCAGAAGATTCCCTTTTACATACATTGATTCCGACCTTTATGACCAGCGCTGATAGCATCCTCACCCGTCCTTTGAGCGTGTTGGTGCCATTCGAGGGTAATCTTGCATAAAAAAAAGGTTCAAACGAATGCTTCAAAATGGTTGTGGGTAATATATATATACATACAGTGTCACCAGCATTAACGGTTCCAATAGATACACCAGTTCCTGATCTTCCGTTAACATTGCAAGTCAAATCAGTACTCGTTACATCGGTAACGGGATTGTTATTCGGTGGAACACGGATATCGGTATTTAAGCCTTGATCCACCTATACATTATTAGACAAAATCTGGGTAGTAACAGATCAACTTAGGACTTACGCCGTTATGCCACCAATATTGCATGCTGATAGGGAGGTTTTCATCAGTACTGGTAAGTGTATGTGGTACTATTCTGCGACTAACGTGACTATAGAAATAGTTAACGCTCAACGAACATTCTAATATTTTAAAAAGAACACTGACAATGAGCAGATACATGGGTTAAGAGTAAAGCCGAGCTTAAGAAAGAAACTATTAATCGCATAGTTGAAGAAGGGGGTGGTTTAAATTGTCCTTCGTCGACCAACCACTTTTTAAATGTTGCCGGGCCAGGCCAAAGCAAAAGCATATGATCTTGTCTTTTTCCAAATATTTTCCGAATAACATTTCGTGACTGTCAAAAATATGAATACACTTTCTTCTAGATTTTGTTCGACGAACCCAGACGGCCAGGCAAAAACATCAGCCAAAAACCAAAATCATTGGTGAAACGTCGGTGGCGGCATATCCCCACGCAATTCAAAAATCCAACACGCCAAGAAAAAAAGAAAATCAAATGGGAAGGAGAACACGCAATAAGAACCAAAGTTATCAACTGTTTTTGTGGCGAAAGGTCGGAAAAGGTGTCGCGCGCACAATTTCGCCAAGAGATTTTGTCAGTTTAGGTGAAAGTCCCAGTTGATTTGTCTTGGAAGCAAGCCGAAAATGGTAAAATCAAGCAAAGAACTTCGGTGGGGGGCCAAAGGATAAGCCGTCAATTACCAAGTCCTCCGAGAGTACGACCGACCTACGAATAACAACACGGCCGACGATAAATCAACTACCCGGTATGGGGTTAAACTCCAAGTAAAAGTATAGGTAAATGGCATTTTAACACGAAGGAATGACAGAGGGTTGAGCTTGGACCGTTGGACATCCTGTGATGCTGGGCCCGGCGACGCCAAAGACTACAAGAATTATCGTGTTCTCCGAAGGAGACCAATGAGCAGAAGGAGGAAAGATACAATTGCGATGGGTTACTTATTCTCATCGAAGCCCATACCAGGTCCAGTTGTACCTTGGAGAAGACGACCATACTGGCCGGAAACAGCTGAAACGAACAGGAAATTCGCAAAGCTGCATAAAACGGAGAATCCATTACAGGACTGCATGCTGACAAATATGAGATTTAAATATGAAAAAACGTTCG